GAGAGAGAGAGAGAGAGAGAGAGAGAGAGAGAGAGAGAGAGAAGGGTCTATGAGTCCAACCACTTAAGAGCGATCCAGAAGAATACATACCAAGTTATCCATACATTTTAATCCCGTATGTGCACTAGTACGCACTGGATTTACAGAATTCTTTAATTTTTAAAAAGTGCAGTTGAGCTGACATGGAAAAGAACTGTTTTGTATTCACTGTAAACTTGTCAAAAGGAATCTGCTGTTTAAAAACTGTGCTAAAATAATCAATTTTTACAAGACCACTAGATGAAGCTACCATATCTTCCTCTTCACCAATTATTACTCTGTTGTGTCAGTTATAGTTTTGTATATACGTAGAAGAAACAAAACGGTGGTAGCTACTATTAGTGAGTACAACAAACCAAGTGAATAATCTGAGTTCAATGTTTCCATGAAAGTATCAACACCATTCAAACCACAGGACAGTTAGAAATCAGTATTTTGAAGTGCATAAGAGTCACACTGTTGATCACCAGCAGTATGGAGCAAGGATCTATTAAAGTCAATAGTGATGGCTGGAAAGAACAAGGCAACATATAGGATTACCTGTTATCCCACATGACAAATTTGCAGTTCCTTCCAAAGTCTGGGATATGTCAATAACAGACATCAACATGTAAATGATAAAGAGTAGTAACCATTTCAGTTTCCAGGTTTGGTACATACCAAAACAAGGGTATTGCAAAGAAAAGATTATCTTCCTTCCTTCAATAGTTCTAGGATAACAGACCATTCGAACACCACCAGGGTGTGATGATGCATGGGAACGATAAGCAGCCTCTACATTTGGCAACTTTCACTACTGCTATTAGTGAGCATTCACCTTGTCATTGCTTTAGTCTTCACAACCTCCAGATGTAGAGTCCTGTCATCATCCCATGCTGTAAACATCCAAGGCGTCATCTTCTAAGTACTTCCTGGTTCAGGGATTGTACAAGTAACTAATGATGCTGTGGCCCTCAGACATGGTGACGGAGTCGCTTTCCCTAAGTGACCTTTGTTCTCTCATCTCTTCTACAGCCCATTGCTATTCCTATGGCTGAGTGGTGGCTTTGAAAGCTCTACAACTGTTGAGCGAGATTTATTGAGAAACTTTGGAGCGCGACGCAGCAGCCTCTGTGCCTCAGTAAAGGTTTCTGTCAGCTCTTTTTTCCACTGAACAAACTCTGGGTCACTCTGAAAGGGATAGAGAAGTTGTTAGGCACTTCATAATCAAGTGCACATACTGGGCAATACCACTTTCCCTATTAGCATTTTTAAACAATGTACTTTAGTTCCTATTAGAAAATGAATGGCTCTGGGTATTGGTAACACACAACCTTTCGTCTTTAAGCACTGAGTCAAACCCAGGCAACATGGTAGCAACCAAAGCGGTTACTACTCTTTACGAATGTGCTAACGACCTTGAGCTGCTGGGAAATTAGTTTGCTTGTATGGGCAGACTAGGCTACTTACGCTCCTAAATTAGTCAGTCAGTTTTGAAAATTGTATCCATTATT